AATCTCATCCATGTCCATCATCATAAGCCATCCATCATCATCCATCATCCTCTCATTCCATTCCATCTATCCATCCATCCAGCTCATCCATCATCGATCCATCATCCTATCCATCGCAGTCATCCATCTCTATCATCCATCCATCTCCGCATCACGATCCTCCATCTCCATCTCTCCATCCATATACCATCTCATCCATCCATCAATCCATCCATCTCCATCCATCCATCCATCCATCCATCATCTCATCCATCATCATCATCCTCCATCCATCCATATATCCATCCATCTATCCATACATCATCCTCATCATCCATCCATCCATCCCATCCATCTCATCCATCATCCATTCTTCCATCCATCCATCCATCCATCCTTCATTCATCATCATCCATCCTCCAACATCCAATCATTCATCCTTCATCCATCATCCATCCATTAATCTATCCATCTACCCATCCATTATTCATCATCATCCATAAATCAATCAAATCAATCAATCAATCAATACCAATCAATCAATCAATAAATTAATCAATCAATCAATCAAATCATTAAATTAATAAATAAATCAATTATATGAATTCTAATCAATCAATCAATAAATAAATCAATCAATCGTCTCTCTGTCCGTGTGTCCGTCCATCCGTCCGCACATCCGTCATCCATCTACAAACCAACTGTTCTCATATATGCAATAAACACATTTTATATAGAAGTGTGACAATATAGCATAACAGGGATTGAGTATGAGATATCTAAATATGTTTTTTTCCGTCCGCTTGCCACCTTATAGATGTTTTGGTGGTTTCCCAAAACATATATGAACTTGATTCTTTCGCAATCACTTGATACAAAGTTCGAGCCGGATTGGACACAGGTCATCCTGTGAGTATATGGCGTATATTGGCGCGCTTGCCACATGCGCGTATGCATAGTGTTTACGTTGCGTGCGTGTGCGTGTGCTTGTGGGTGTTTTCGTGTGGTGTCCATGTGTGTGCGCGTGTACGTGTGTGTATGCGTGTACGTGACGCTGAGCGTGAATCTGTGTGTGTGCGCGGCGTGCGATGTGTGTGTGTGTGTGTGTGTGTGTGTGTGTGTGTGTGTGTGTGTGTGTGTGTGTGTGTGTGTGCGTGTGTGTGCGTACGTGCGTGCATGCATGCATGCTTGCATGCGTCCGTTTTTCAGTGCGTGCGCATGCACGCGAGCATAGGATGTTACAAGTGTCTACCTATTAGCTGTAGCTGTAGCTGTAGCTGTACGATGTAGATGTGTAGTTGTAGCTGTAGGTGTAGCTGTAGCTGTAGCTGTAGCTAATTCTGTAGTTGCGCTACATTGAAGGGTTTGTGGACAGAGCTATCGAGCACGTGGCGCAAGGTGATCGCCGACATAAGCGTTTGACTACAGACAGTAAGGTGACGGTATAATGTTGATATACGAAAGTAATCGATATGCGAATATTCGACTTATGCAGATTGAACAATAAACCACACGTATCGCGTGTTGTTGTTCGGTGATGTGGCGTGGCGGTGGCGGTGGCGGTGGCGGTGGCGGTGGCGGTGGGCGGCGCGGCAGCGTGGCGGTGGCGTGGCGGTGGCGGTGGCGGCGGCAGCGGCGGCTCGGTAGTAGGTAGGGTGGTGTAGGGTGGGGGCAGCGGTGAAGTGGCGGCGGCGGTGGCGGTGGCGGCGGCGGCGGCGGTAGTGGTAGGGGTGTGTTGTCGGTGGGGCAGGGGTGAAGTGGCGGCGGCGGTGGTGGTGGTGGTGGCGTGTGTGGTGGGTCGTGGGCGGCGGTGATGGTGATTGTAATGGTATTGTCGTTGTTGGTGGAGTGGAGACGGCTGCGGCGGCGTCGAAGGTAGTGGCAGGCGTTGCATCTAAAAATCTGGTTGGTCAACTGCTACTAATAACAAGAAAATCACGATATACTTTTTATCGTATGCATCGGACAATTCTGTTTATTTAATTACTGCGTACTATCTTCGACCTCCGTCATCTTAACAGCTCTACATATTTAGGCGGAGACCATATACCGAAAGTCGAGTACCACCCGCGATGAGGTTAAAATTGGTACGTCTAAAAGACATTGGAATTGAAAATTTATTTAAAAATTAATTGTCGTAATCATTTGGGCAGTAAAGAGAAACGCAGTCGTTGTCATTCATTGATATAGAGTGGCCACATATTTCAGAAACAAATATATAATGGTTGGAATGCCTACACGTTTGGTATTTAAATCATCCCATTTAAAAAATCTTCTTCAATGTTTTAAATTTTTAGGGGGATAATCTTCCGAAACCTTGGCGGATCTCTATCCACTCACGCATGCGCAGAGCACAACGCGGCTTTCAATCTTCTGAGAGATAAGTGCGGATACGCTCCAGATAAAATACCACAACTGGAAGACGTTTCTCGTTTCATGAAAGGTATGTCCTGCCATATTGGTTAAAATGTAAAAATGCTTTATAATATTTCGATATAGGATATGACATGCGCATATTTATTTATTCATAAATATATAAATGTATTTATTTATTCGTATTATATAAAAATTATTTATTTATTTATTTATTTATTTATTTATTTATTTATTTATTTATTTATTTATTCATTTATTCATTTATTTACTTACTTATGTGTTCATGTATATACATACATGTGTTGTCTGCGTGCGTGTAGATATATGCACATGGAACGAGGAGATGCACATTTATTTAGCGATAATGTCATTTATAGGAAACATGTTGGTTTGTACGTGTTTTTGATGACATTTTTGCCTGTACACATGCAGGCAGGACCGGCTGGCAGCTGCGACCAGCGGCCGGGCTCGTCACGGCACGTGACTTTCTCGCCAGCCTCGCTTTCAGGGTGTTTCAATGCACTCAGTACATCCGGCATAGTTCCGCGCCCATGCACTCACCCGAACCGTGCGTATAAATACATCGATATATCGAACTGTGATTTCATATATTGAAATGAACCTCACAAATCAATCCGGCTCCTATATATTCGCGTCGTAACGCGAAAACGATATAAATTAATTGTGGTATTCGGGGGTTATGCGTATTTTGTTCGCTGTAACAAACTGGGCCATTAGGCGCCGACAAACATAACGCCACTTCTTGGCGCCTGCTTTTTGATGGATTAACATAGTTTCTTACAGCTGACGCAAATATCTGTAAGCTCTATTTCTAGGTTTCTACGTTTATAAACTTCCTCTATGCGAAGTTTTTCCTTCTCTAAGCTTCATCCCTCTAGAGATTGCTCCGTCTATAATTAAGCTTCCTCTTTCTGGAGTTTACTTCGTCAACGATCTCCTCTATTTAGGGTTTGTTTCTTCTATAAGCTTCCTCTATATACAGCTTGCTCCTTCTATAAGCTTTCTCTATATACAGCTTGCTCCTTCTATAAGTTTCCTCTATATAAATCTTGTCCCTTCTATATGCTTCCTCTTTCTGGAGCTTGCTCCGTCTATACGCTTCCTGTATGCAGAAGTTGCACTCTACATCTCTCTATATCGAGGTCTATAAGCAAGATTCTCGCTCTTTCAGTGACTGCGCGCACGAGTTGCTGGGACACGTACCGATGCTGTCTGATCCAGCATTCGCTGACTTTTCGCAGGAGATCGGTCTCGTCTCGCTCGGCGCGTCCGACGCCGACATAGAAAAATTTGCGACGGTGAGCGACCCGCGAAGACACCATGGCGAATCGTCCACCGGCACATGCGTCGTTCACTTTTATTTCCATGTCACGATCCTAGATGAAAATAAAAACACGTTTATACTAGTTATCATTTATTGATCTAGACGTTGGAGCTACGCCCATTGTACACTGTATACGGTCGCATCTATCCGTGCACGCACTATGCTGTACATTTCTGCAATTAGTGGTCGGCAGGAATAGCTATTATGAGATAAATTATAACGGGACGTGTCGAAAAGTAGGAGTAGGTAGTTTTAGGACTGCTCCCCTTCTATATGAATGCCCCCTAACTTTAACCCCAACCCTATCCCTATTAAAATGAATCCAAGGGTTCAAAAATCAATTACCAATTTTCTGGCAATTTCCATTAATTGCCCATTTTACATAATTCCATATAATTATCCAGGCCATAATTCACCACTCAACTTCCATAATTCAACTTCGATTAACAGATTTATTAGACGAGGGGTTTCGTGGGCGTGCTGCTAACACAATCAGGCCCTCACAAATACACATGCAACTGGCATATAATACATTTACCTGGCACGCAAGTCCTAATCACTGAACACACATCAGTACTATTCATGGATGGCATAAACAGACACCCACCTTCTCTGTTCATGGTCCCTCTCAATACCCCTGACGTGAAATGCCGTGTCTATATAAACGGTCCCTATATTTAAAAAAAATCACCGCCAATGACGTATTATTCCGGGATAAAAGTGTCCACGAGATACGAAGATATATAATCAACTACTACCGCTACCGTATAAGATTATTTTGAAACGCCCCTATTTTTCAGATATACTGGTTCACAGTTGAGTTTGGACTCTGCAAGCAGGATGGGGCAATTAAGGCGTACGGAGCGGGACTGCTTTCGGCATTTGGAGAATTAAAGGTATTAACAGCGAATAACACTGGTGTGTTGGGGAGTAGGAACGAGCCAATAAGCCATTACATAACTGTCTGGTAATGTGATATCTTCTCAAAAACCGTTGTTGTGAATATGCAACATGTTCTGCTTGCATCTATGACAAATACGACATACGCATATACGCTCTCCTATGACACTATTTGTCATAGGAAGAATCTTCCTATGACAAATACGACATACGCATATACGCTCTCCTATGACACTATTTGTCATAGGAAGATTCTTCCTATGACAAATATTGGCGAGTCAACTTCGGTCCGCTTTACAGCTGAAATTCACTACTTGCGTTCATTAATAGCGCTCCTAAACTCCTATGATCCGCACAACACATACAACAATATTAATTTTGTCATAGGAAGAATCTTCCTATGACAAATAGTGTCATAGGAGAGCGTATATGCGTATGTCGTATTTGTCATAGGAAGATTCTTCCTATGACAAATAGTGTCATAGGAGAGCGTATATGCGTATGTCGTATTTGTCATAGATGCTAGCAGAACAGGCTGGAATATGCTACGCTTGTATTGTGGGTGTGCGCACGTTGGTTATATACTCATTAGCGTTGTGTGCGTGTGTGTGTGTGTGTGTGTGTGTGTGTGTGTGTGTGTTAGGTGTGTGGTTGTGATGTGTGTCGTGTGTATGTGTCGTGTGTGGTGTGTGTGTGATGTGTTGTCGTGTGTAAGGTGCTGTGAAATGTGTGTGGTGTGGTGGTGTGTGTGTGTGTTGTGTGTGTGTGTGTGTGTGTGTGTGTGTGGGTCACAGTGTGTGTGTGTGTTGTGTGCGTGCGTGCGTCCGCGTGCGTGCGCGTGGTCGTGGCGGTGCGTTGTGTGTGTGTGGTTGGTGGGTGTGTGTGTGTGTCACAGTGTGGTGTGTGATGCGTGCGAAAAAGCTTGTCGTGCGTCGCGTGCGTAGCCGTGGGGCGCGCGCACGTGCTGTGTTTGTGCTGTGTGTGGTGTGTAGTGTTGTGTGTGTGTGTGTGTGTGTGTGTGTGTGTGTGTGTGCGTGCGTGTGTGTGTGGGTGCGTGTGTGTGTGGGTGCGTGAGTGCTGTCGGCAGTCAGTCGTGTTAACATTATAGGCAGGAATTCGCGCATGAGAGCGTGCTGATGCTGTGAGTAGCTAATTGTTTACGCGTGCGCTGGTATTGTTAGTGTAGCGTAAACCTTAGTATTGTGCGCAGGTGAGTGTTGGTGTTTTGTGTGCGGACATTATGGTAAATTACGCGTTCGTGCATGATAATATTGTGCGTGCAGGTTACAAAGTGGCTGGGTACGTGCATATTGCTACTTTGTGTAAACGAGTGTGTACGCGCGTGTGTGTGCGTGTGCGCGTGCGTGTATGTGTGCGCGTGTGTGCGGTGTGGTATGATGTGTGTGTGGGGGGGGGGGCGTCTGTGAGCGTGCGTGTCTACGTGTGTATACAAGATGGTATTGCGCGCGCGTGCATAACGGTATTGTGCGTGCGTGTTAGTATTGAGCGTGTGTGGCTGCTCATGATGTTCGTGAATGGATATGAAGAGAGGACGGCATGACCAAATGTAAACAGACTTTGGGATGTGTCGACACACTTTTCGCTAAATTATTATCGCAGACTATTCTACATCGACGGCATACTATCGATAAATGCGCTAAATAAATATAATCATCTTGAGCGGCTACTGCGTATGTATAACGCTGTGCTCAAGTAATAAGATCAGACAGCAACAGAAGATCAGCTAAGTGGCAAATCTTCGCCAGACAGCCTCTAGGGAAATTAAGGATTGCCCAGTGCGCAGCGCATCCCTCACGGGACCTCACTTGTTTGATTTAACAATAATATACCTATCAATAAAGCGATATAGCGACGAATGAGATATAGCCAAACACATCGGTATAGAAATGAATACGCGCGATGAGTTGGGGGCTAAAAAAGCCATTTATTAAGTTGTTCATAGTATGAACCAAAAAACGGTTCCTGGAACTTATGGAAGTTATGGCTCTTTATTTACGATATTGTTGTGTCTTACAAAAAAATTACAGATTTTCGTGCATTTTTTCAATTTATTAACTAAACTTAAACATTAAAAACAATTACAGGAACGCGCGATGAGTTGGGGGGTTCCTATAGGTATAATACGGTGATTTATCTCGTCAGCACGCTCTATCGGATGTGCCCGAGCATCGTACGTTTGATCCAGCTAGCACAGCAGTGCAAACCTACCAGGATTCCGACTATCAACCGCTCTACTTCGTATCCGAAACGTTTGAAGACGCCCGCGCGCAAGTTAGGTAAATGTGTTTGCGCTTTTTTATTACCTGCGTATGTACATGCCGTGACTGCGTGAGAGCAAGCGTCTGTTTGTGTGTGTGTGTGTGTGTGTGTGTGTGTGTGTGTGTGTGTGTGTGTGTAGGGGGGCAAAATGCTGTGCGTGAGAAGGTGAAAAGCAGGGGGAGAGGTAGCGTGGCGCTAGCAACTAGTTGTGAGATTAGAACATGTTCTATTTTCGCCAACTCGGAGTTGGTGAAATTGAGAAATCGGTCCAACTCGCCGATTGGCCAACATAAAGTCGGTAGTGTACACCCAGCGCGTGGGTAGCGTAAACCCGGCCCTTACGCTTAAAATTATAACAACCCTCTCGCCTATTTCGCCCGCCCGCTAGCCGGCCGTGTATGAGCCACGGTCCCGTAATGCGAGGATAGGATTCCCGGGTCGTAGCACCGGCGCGCGAGAAAGCGGGAAATCTCTTTCGCGTCGCCTTCCTCTCGTGTTCGGGCGGTGGCGGAAAGACGGAGATTTTATCGGATCAAGGCGTCTGCGCGAACGCGGCTGCGATGCGGACGTCACGATCTCGCGCCGCGACATCGCCGTGTCGGGACCGCCGATCCGGTGGCCTCGGGATTCGGCAAGGCGCGCCGTGGCTTCGGAATCTGCATGCGCGTGCAGCGAGAGTCGCCTCCCCCCCCCACTGCGCGCCCTCTTTCCTTCATGCGGATGAAAACGAATAATTAACAGGCGATATATGTTAGCTGTCGCTTCAGTATAGTATAGTAGTATAATAATTATTAGTATATATTATTATTAGTTATTAGTAGTGTATAGTAGTATATAGTAAATAGTATACAGTATATAATAAGAACAGAATAAAGAAGCGCGCATAACTTTATCCGTTAAGCTCTTCGTGTTATTAACTCTAGGTTTCATCGGATTTAAACCAAGATGTTTCTCCGCCGCCATCTTTGATCTCCACCCCCGCTTCGCGAGCGTACGATATTCTATCATGTGCGTCCATAGCTACGCCGCCGACGTGGCTATCTGACGTTAATCTGACCTTCGCGTTCTCGCGGAGCTGCATGTATTCACCAGGTTTTACTAGCCGATGGTCATCGTCTTCCTTGCTGAGACGCTGATGAACGCCGACAGAGTGCGCCACGGACGCGCGCAACGCCACCAGAGCGACGGTGGAGCCAACAATTTCGAAGAAAATCGGTACGGAATACAGCATCGGGGTGCCACGTTGCCGACAGTGGTGCCGCCACGGGGGATACCGTAACTGTCTGTGATTCCGTCACCAGGCCAAGCCGCGTGACGGCAGCGATGCCGCCAGGTGGGGCGACGGAGCGGTAGTTGTGCCGCCAGGCGCAGCTGCGCAATAGGCGGTGCCGTGGCGGGGTTCGTGGAATTTCCTATTTGCTTTCGGCATGAATGGGATTCGCAGACTAAGGAATGAAAATAGATCGTAGAATCCTAACGCGTGGTGACGTCAGCACGAGCGTGTCGGCGCGTCGCTCGCATTACTATTCACCGCGAGTCGCATTCCTAAGGTCCGGTCGGCCAATAAAATATGTTAATAGCTACAAACGAGGGCGGATATGCGCGATGTTACGGCGGCAGAAAGCACAAGCGACGGAAAAAACTCTAACGTCGTGCCACGCCCCCTACCGTCGCTACTTGTCTCCACCCCGATCGTTTGTCGATGATTTTTGATTATCAGCCTGTCCGTCTGTATGCGTGAGCGCATGCGTGCTCGTTCATTACCTAATACGTCATTCCACCTATCGTTGAACGTAAACGTATGTAAAGTAACGTAAATTATGTGAATCGACACTCTGGCCCCACAAACTTTGTTGTTACATAAAAATGGAGACAAAAATAACGTCGCGCGTCTCCGATGCGCATCCTGTCGTTCGCTATAGGAAGTACGTCGCCTCGCTGAAACGTCCGTTCGAGGTGCGCTACGATCCGCTCACGCAGACCATACAGGTGCTGGACAACGTCGATGAAGCCTCGAAGCTCGCTGACGCCATTCGCACCGACCTGCAGGTACTGTCGGTCGCCCTGCAGAGGATGAAGTCGCTGAGGGTCGCCAATTACTTCCAACAGCCTCGTGACGCTACCGTTGAAGATCCTTGACGCATCCGCGACGCTGACGTTGATGACGGCTGACGCTGCGTTTATTGGGGTGGCGGCGATGTTGTGTGATGCAGCCGTGACGCAGCTGTAACGCTCACGACGGTGACACGTGACGCAGCCATGATGCTGACGATGATTATGCTTGACGCAGCATTAACACTGACGGTTATAAAACATGACGCAGCTCCATGACGGTGACGCTGATGGTTCTTGACGCAGCAGCAACACTAATGTTTATAACGCATGACGCAGCTCCTTGACGCTGACGATGATGACGCTTGGCGCAGCAAGTCGACGGTTAATTTGCGGCTGGATGCAGCCGTTATGTTACGATGAAAAGAAAAGTAAACAGTCACAAACGAAACAGGTAGAGAGTTGAATGTGTTTGAACGTCACTGACGTTATGTTAATAAATACAATAGCACCCGCACATGACAACACACACTGTAGTCGTAGTCACCGTCATTATAATCATAATTATATATTAATGCCTGTTGTTGGGGGCACTATGCTCGCATAGTGTTGCGGAGGGAAGGTATAGTGCCCGAGCGGTAGCGAGGGCACTATTCCTTCCCAAAGCCACACTATGAGAGCATAGTGCCCCCAACAACAGGCATTGATGTTTTTAGTGCATCACATGACTTTGCAATCTACTCGGCAAATATGAAGTGAATAAAAAAAATCTGGAGCGCTCCATGTTGTTGTCGTCTGACTGATAACAACGCTGGTCTCGCCACCTGTCGATGACTCAGGAAAACTGCTACAGGTAGGGGAAATTTAATTCGAATTTTGAAATTTAATTCAAACAATGCAAATAACAATGCATATCGTCACCTTCTTAAAATAATAGCCTAAGTCACTTTTTGAGAAAAATTATATTTTTGCCTAAGTCGTCTCTTCATGATGCTGGCCACCTCTGGTAAAATGGCCTAAGTTCTTATCGAAAAGCCCGTCGAGTTTCATCCCTTCTTCGACACTTTGCCACATAAATAGGCATCATAGCCCGGCAGATATGTGCAATCAAGACGATTGAGAATGAAGATTCAGGGGAGAAATTGTTTTAAATGGAAATGGGTTAATTTCATTCAACTATATTGTTTGTAATGGGAATAAATATTTTGCCTAAGTCACTTACTCCAGAAGTAATTTGGCCTAAGTCCGGTGTAAAATTGCCTAAGTCACAACGGCATGTTCGTAAATTGGCCTAAGTCATTTAATTAACATAATATGTAACATATTTGACAGACCGCGTTATGTGTATTTCAAAAGTCATATATCCCCAAACCTTTCTGTGTGAAATGATTAATAAATGTCATATATTCAATATTTGGTTAATATTTTTCTGTTTTTCTCAAAACTTGAAAATATGACTTAGGCCATTATTTTAAGAAGGTGACGATATGATAAATGCAATAACATGAATAACAATGCGTCGCGCAAGCAATAGTGCCCGCTCAGGCGGGCACTATTGTTTCATAGTACCTGCGACGTTATCCAATGGAATTTCAACAATTTATCACGTGATGCACTAATAACTATATAATTGTTTTCGATCGAATTCATTGTTGAGAATTACGTTAATGTATTAATATATTTATTTGAGGTTTATTACAGTGCTCATTTTAAGATTTCTATACAGCGTCGATCTATAATTTTACTGTCCCAAAGCTATTTCTAAAGTGGAAAATGTGGGATTAACAATTTCTAATATCAAAGTAGATAATAGGAAACACCGTCGCCGCCACGTTTTATAAGATATTGGCTTTTAGCGTTGATAGTCAATTTAGTGACAGCTCCTTTTGCGAGAATGATTACGGTTTATTCGCGCTATTTTGCCGCGACGTTCGCATGTTGTGTGTGGAATTATAACCTATACCATTATGATCGTGAAAGTCAATTAGGCACAATTATTAGAGCACCTATTATAGCCGTGTAGGGTTGCATATATACCCTAGCTGGTATTGACAGTTACTCCATGAAAGCATCCTGCTGCGTTACACAGTAGTCTGGTAAATTCTTCGGTTAGTGGGTGAGCACACATGTTATTATAATCTGAAAATCCCATCTGTCTTTTTCTCTCTCTCTCTGTCTGTCTCTCTCTCTCTCTCTCTCTCTCTCGCTCTCTCTCTCTCTATATATATATATATATATATATACATATATATATGTACATATTCGCGACTACTTCCTCGTCTAACCTGACAATTCGTAATGAATACATTTCGATTTCATGTTTAATTAAATTGTCGGTCTCATTTTAATTTCTGCAAGAGTTTTCGAGTGTTCTCGTGCGACATTTCCCAGCGAAATTCCATGTCTCGGTACAGTGGTAATTTACGGCTTAAACACCGAGTAACCTATGAACGATAACTTATGCATATTGAACAGTAGGCGTTTTGCGTGAATGTAACAAAAATCACCGATATGAAATTGACCGTTTATTCACCATTAGCCTCTCTTCTTCTTCATTACACCCCATCGGTCTATAGACAACATTCTTTATGGCGTTGTGAAGTTATTGTCATTTTCAATATTTCATATTAACAAGGCGTGTTATTTTTAGCATTTATATGTGCTATATTTATTTCATGTGCAATATTTTCTAGCGGGCGTCCACATTGTAATGCGCGGAATGCACGACAATAGGTAATTGTAAGGTTTTGTAGTCACCTATACTGTAGACATAGAGTAATCATAGAGAAGCGTCAGCCTGCGCTCCGATGTTATATTTTTGTTATCAGAAATAGGTGGGCTAGAAGTAGGTACGATGTAGAACCATGCGACGGCAGGCGGAGACGATGTCTTATTATGTTACTTGTTCGTAATACAAAATGACAGAATTTAATAGGCAATTCACATGCACGGACGCACTGTCCTGATACACGTTGGCGATCGTACGGGCTAATTAGTAATAAAAAGACATTTCTGCTGTTTAAAGGCACCTGTGCTAAAGACCTGAAATATGTATTAAAGATCGGCGCAACGCAATGTATGAATATCTAGAATCGTGCTGTAGGCGTAAGGTCGCACAGATATATGCACTTAGAGAGTAGAGGCGTCGGCGGGCAGCCAAATTAGCAGCAATTGTCACGAAAAATATATTATATTCTAGGAAATAAATGATCCACTTCGCAAGCAATACGAAAAGATGCGTGATGCGTTATCTCTTTCTTTGTCATCGTAAAAATGTTTATTTATAGGAATATGTTAATATATATATATATATATATATATATATATA